TGCTGTGATAAATGTGATGAAAAAAACTGATTAGAACAACTGAGTGGGTCACTGTTGTGACAAACACCAGCTATTTTGCTGCGGCTGCTGCCCTGAGGGAGCCGCCACTACTCCTATCCTCATCCCTCCCGCCCCCGCCCCGTAGCGCTGCAGCGGCGGCAACTGACCCTACAGCTGACACGCGCTCTCCCATAGAAAGCCGCTCCACGCGGCAGACCGTACCATGCGCTTTTTCATCCAGTGGCCATGACAGGACCATTCCTTGTGTATTTTATTTATGAATTTATTTCCAAATACTGTTGGCCGTCATGGCCATAACAGGGTGGGTACAGTAAATGTTAACATAAAACAAAAACAAGTACAATAGTAATAAAGACAGAGAGAAAGAAATAAACATTTATTTAGAAACTGTTCTGAGCGAGGCCCGGTGTCATCCTAAGGTGGGAGGTTTCCCTAGTCCAGGAAGCCTCCGGCTTCAACTGCCCTCTTGGCCCTGGCGTTGAGTTGTCGCTAGTATTCCAGGTCCTCGAGGACGAACTTGGCCTGCCAGGTTTCCATCATGTGGTCGTCGTTTATTCTTGGGGCTTGGTCCAGCTCCAGTCGCACATCGTGGTTTGCATGGCACTGGCATTCCACGAGCAAGTGTGCCAGGGTGTCTGGTATGCTGCAGAGCAGGCACAAGTAGCCATGTGTCGTTGGGTAGAGGCGGTGCATTAATATGCCATGTATGTAAGTGTTGCTTTGTAGGCGTTTAAAAATCACGCTCTCTTCTTTGGTTAGTCTTGGATGGGGTGGAAGGTACACCCGTCACTCCAGTTTGTAGTGTTGAAGTAGCGACAAGTAAGTGTTTTCTACTACCTCCATCTCTGCAGCCACGGATCAGGTATCCTTTGGTCCCAGGGCAGCCAGACTAACGTGCTCGCGGGCAGCGGTGTGAGCCACTTCATATCACTGTAGAGCCTCATGTCTAGGAACCCAGATTACGCAGGTATATGGAAGTGGAGAGCTTCGCCATTGCAGGATGTTAATTGGAACGGCTGAGACACGGCTTTTCACATAATTGCGGCAAGGGGCCGCCTTCGAGTCGGTGAAAATCACCGCGGCGTCTTTACATGTGGTGTTGGCGAGAGCGATTGCCACTTCTTCCGCTGCGTCTGAGTTGCGTGCCTTGACTGTGGCCGACGCTAACTCTCGACCTTGAGAATCAACGACGCTGATAGCATACGCGTTTCTACAGGGGTACTTGGCCGTGTCGGTATAGCGGGCATTCGGGTCTTGCCTGAACTTTCGTTGAAAAGCTTCTGCTGTAGCCATTCGTCTACCTTTGTGGACTATGGCGTGCATGTTGCGTGGGATAGGTGCGATGGACAGGGACTCTCGAACGTCCACCAGGGTGCGCTTTTTTCGGTCTGCATTCGCAATGTATGATTCGCTGTAGCTGAGATACTGGAGTACGGACCTCCCAGTGGGCGTGACCTTGAGTCGTTCCAGCTGGCTGTTCTTGTGAGCCTCCGCGAGCTCTTGCCACGTGTTGTGGACACTCATCTTAAGAAGTTGTGAAGTAGAAGCCATGGGTGGTAGTCTCATGGCGGCTTTGGTTGCCTTTCTTACTCTAATATTATGTTTTTCTATTTCCGTAGTTCTTAAACAGAGGTATGGCGTGCTGTACGTGAGGCAGCTGGTGAGCAGAGCTTGCATTATTCGTGGGGTGTCGTGTTCTTTAAGCCCTTTGACAGAACTACAAAAAATACTTATTTATCCAGAACAAAGACAAAATAATTTAAAAACATGCTTTATAAAAACGTTCATACATATATAGTGTAGACCACTAATACATAACCCCTTATAGCGGAAAACTGCTTACAATGCAGTGTTTTTCTACTCCCCTTTACCCTCCCATAGAACCTCATGTATACGCATACCGCTTATTGTGCAGTTCCCCAAGATAAAAGACCAGTTATAATGCGGTTGCCAGAAATTGTTTGTGACAAATGCGGTAGCGAGTGCGCTTCTGAAAGAAGACGCGCTGGGTGCGCTGCTGGGGAGTGAACGACGAGGTCGTCACGGAGAAGGGGGGGACACGGAGTGAACGAACGAACGAAGGGCGGAGGGAAGAAAAAGAAAATGAAAAGACCGCGGGACACTGCACCGCGGGCTCGACGCGTAAGGATGGAGGATTATTGCCTCGGTGACCCATAAGCCTTTGCACCGGCGCCGACGCGGCTACAGCGTACTACATCGCTAGCATGGCTTCAGCTGCGCGCCACTCAATGTGGCATGTGCGATCCCATCCTTATCAATTGCATGCGCTTAACAGTTTCCTGTCAGGAAAGACGTCATCGTTACCGAGCTAGCAACAAATATCGTGTTTGCTTCCTTGTCCGTGAATTGAAAATCTTTTATGATTTTATGACACAAGCTTTCACTTTTGCTGCCAGTGTGCTGTTGTACGTAAGCTTGACGAGTTGTTGTTGCTGATCTCCTGGCCGCCAACGTGAACTTCGTATCACACACGCTGTTCTTGGTTCACTGCTAGTGCGACCTTTTTGACAACGAATCTTCATGTTCTGGAAAAACTTTCCACGACAACATACCAAACGGCAAGCTAGGCCTAATTGGCGTTCGTTGCGCTTCGATCGGTAGCGGTTGCGCGAATCTAAGTTGCGGTGTGGTACCGAATCAACAAAACTCTTAGCGGTGGCCGTATCTGTAGTGCTCAAATAGTGGTTCGCGATTCGATTGCGATGTCTTAAATCGGGTGTGCGCCCATGAAATCGAATGGTTGGCGTCTTTCAATGCGTCAAATTCTGGACGTGATTCGACATAGTTTATATGTATTGTGCAAATAATCGAGGTGGTCTAGTAGTCGACGAATTTCCGCGATGGTGCTTTCATTTGTTAGACCCTCCCCTCACCCTTTCGCATTCATTTCATTGGCAACACCTGTCTTCGGGCGTTAAATTCTTTTGTTAGCATTCAAATTTCTGAATGTTAGCAAGCACACACCGCACACTTGGATTTTTGGACACGCGAAGCTGCATGTTCAACAAGTTTTGCGCAAATGCGGCCTTTGCAAATGATTGTTTTAATTATAGTGCAGTACCGCTCATAGTGCGGATATTCGCAACTCCTGCGACTTGCGTTATAAGCAGTCTATACTGTATTGTGATGGTGGTATAGTATGCAATATTAAGTAACTACACGATGTATTTTCGAACAACATGGCAATGTACGTAAAATACTATAGGAATACTCAATGTTCACGACAAAATTTTAATGCACTCTTCAAAGCTTTCTATGCTCTTCGAATTCAGTGCCGGTACTGACAACTGATTCCACTTTTTTTATCGCTCATGGAAAAAAAGAATACGCGTACACATGAAGATTGCATTTTGGAACCAAAAACACAAATTTATTGCATGATCTGACATTGCTGGAGAGCCTGGGAACAATATAAGGTTTAGTTTCAATACTGAGGTGTCCTGTGCAGATTATGGTTGGGCGTCGCAATTACCAGTGCGTACGCGTTCCGCATAGGAATGGCTGACACCCCTGAATGCGACCATTGTGGCAGTGATGAAACAACTTGGCACATTCTGTGTGATTGCCCACAATACTGCTCGCAGAGACAGTCACTCTGCAATGCACTAGATGAACTGGACAACCAGCCTCTTTCGGAATAAAGAATCCTGCGCTGCTGACAGGACTTTATGTCGCAGAAGAAGGCTGTGAAGGCGCTCCTGCGCTTTTGCGTTCAACCGGCCTGTCCAAACGACTGTAATCGGAACTCCCTGAATGTGTGCGCATGTGTTTTTTTTTCTAATTTATTTTATATCTCTCTATATCTATCCTCTTTCCGACCCTTTTCCCCACCCCCATACAGGGTAGCAAACCAGCTCGTCTAGGTTAACCTCCCTGTCTCTTTCTTTTATTTATTTATCTCTCTCTCTCTCTGAGGTGTCCTTTTGATAGCAAAAAAAGAAATTTAGGTCGACCAACTTTCCGGCGTTGAGTCAGCGTAGGCAATTCAAGCAACCAAAGTTTTCCAAAAACGGAGTCATTTCAAGAATAATGCGATAAAATTATTCTTGCAGCCTTTCTCTGTATTTTTTAATTCGATTTATTAACCCCAACTGGAAGGGATCCCACACTGCACCGGTGTGTTATAATGTCGGCTTTACGTAAGTCAAATACATACTTGCCAAGTACAAGGATTCTGAATCCGGGAGATTTCGCAAAGGGGCCGGGGGGGGGGGGGGGGGAGGCTGAAATACGGTATTTTTTTTTTTCTTTCGGCACCTAAAAAACCCAAGGTCAAACAAACAAACAGAAAGAACATCACAACAAACATGCGGGGTGCGGTGAGGGGTTTCAATCGCAAGTGCCAACATCAGCCGTGCGGTCTCGGAGTGGCCGAACACACGGGGGTAGTGTTTTTCACTAAGGTGAGCCTCAAAGGATCAAACACAACTAGCAAAATCTATTTCCGTTGAAACAACTCGCCTATTTCTTCACACGTGAACGGGCGGGACGGCTCAGCTGGCTGCCGCAAAAGTGTGGGTCAAAGCTTTGCTCACTACTAGATTCTTTTGACAGGAATGCCAAAACGCGTCAGGCCCCTTTTTATTGGTATATCAATTACATGAACAGTCTATGCTGGTGTTTTGCTGTCCCGGTAATTCATGTATATATATATACATATATATATATATACACTCAGGAAAAAGAGAAGCTACCTCCGCGTGCCCCGACGAGTGCTTATCTCTCACGTGTACTTTGCCAAGCGAATGGTGAGTGGAGGGGGGAGGGGGCAGTGCCAGGCACCGTAAACACTGCAGCACCAAAGTGGACATATCATATAAAAAAGGTTTGACATGGAAGTCATGAATTACACACAGAATTGCTTAAAATGCGGTGTTTTTTTTATCAGTGTCACCACCTAGTGTAATAATCCCTGCTACAGACTAAAAAATAAGCTACAGAATTAATCGAACAGTTACCTGCTCGTTACGTTCCCAGAGATCCCACGAGCAATCCGTGAAGGAGACCTCCTTCAAGGCCTTGTTCCTGGCAAGCAGTTCAGCAAATGACTCTCCGTCAGGCTGACCCAGGTGGAAGCCTTCAACAATGAGGTCAGTGATGCTGGAATTGGCGGCCAGTGCGTCGAAGACAGCGCTCGCCTCGTGGCAACGCCTCGCACAAGTCACACTGAGCTCAATCAAGGACGTCGAATCAGCCAGCAGCCGCTGGAATGCCTCCTCGTTGTCATGCATGGTAAACCAGCTGTCGATGGCAAGGCTGCACACGCTCGTGTTGCCAGCCAGACCATCCAAGATTATGGCAGCGATGCTGGCCGAACCCCCGGCCGCCCCTGCACCCTGTGTCGAACATTAGTTAATGCTAAAGTTCAATGAGCTGCCTTGCACAGTTTCAGACACATGTCAATAAATGAACTCTTTTTTATACAATCTACCGAATTTGCTCGCGTAATGAACACACTCGCATAATAAACGCACCCCCTAAATTCATCCGCTGCAGTCCCACTAACCGACACCTGGCGCCTTCTCACCCATTGGATCTCTTCCGTTTTTTATCATTTTTCCAACACCCCCTCCCTGGGCACCACGGCTCGCTCCCTCCGCCCTTCGCTTTTTGCCACGTGCGGTATTGTTTGTTTTTTTTTTTCTATCTGTGCGCAGAACGTCCCCTGTCTTATCTGTGCGCCACAGCGGGGTTCACGAATAGTGTGAGTGTAGACATCGCAGCTGATAAGCTCGCAGCGACCGAAGGTCATAAAGCTGCCGTGCCAACTTACGATCGCTTCCTGCAAATACAAAAAAACCTAACCATGCACACGCGATTTTTGAGCGACAACGACAGGATTCACTGTTGCCAAGGGTCATTCATTGCTATTGCACCGCAAGTTTCTGTAAAACCAGTAGAGGAACTTCTCATCTGGAAGCGAGGCGGTGGCTGTATCTTGTTATCAACGGTTTGTTTTGATGCTTCAGGGATAGCTTGCAGCATTGCTGGCTACAGTGTTAACGACGGCGTCACAGTTGTCGTGCGAGGTTGCCGCGAAGTTGGCTAAATGTGTTGTAGCATCATAGTGCACGCTCTTGAGCGCCCCTCCAGATCACAGCAGATATTGCGGTCAAACGATTGCAAGAAAAGATAGCCGCAAAACGCATTTATGGCTTGCGCGGGCGGCCCGGGGACAGCTTGCACAAGATAGTGCCAACAACCACTGAAGATGAATAAAGTGCAACAAAGAAGCTGTTTTTAAACAGTGCATTCATATGTCAATTGCGAAAAGCTAAGCAACCTAACTTCTTTTGCATTACCGCATTTTTCGCTCCTCTCTAAAAAATTTTTATAAAATTTACCCCGCATAACATACTTTGCTCCAATTTTTCTAGAAAAAAATTGTGTTCATCATGCCAGTAAATACGATATATCATGGCACGACCCCACACATCTGAATTTTCTCTGTCAGTGAAAAGACATCAAAACATTTACACAACTTATTTCTAGATTCAATATGCACCCAAGTAAAGAGGCAGTGCTGCGTTAATAAAACCTATGTGATTTTCTAAATGAGTTGGACAGAAGCAGCCACTTGCAACTGCTGAGCCGCAACAAACACAAACAACTTTAAACATCCCACTCGGTCAATAAATCAGAATTTTTCATGTTTGTCTTCTAAAAAAAGTTAGTTAAAAGTAGTCGTTCCTTCCTGTTACCCTTACCTGCTTAAAAAAGAGCTTCCTTGTCAGTCTCCATCTTAAAGCATCATCATATTATCAATCAGCACCACGACTTCAAAACACCTTCCTAAAACATTTTAATTCTCACAATGCTACTTATCAAGTTTTCTTTATGTGTGCACAGAGATGTGAACAGTTGTTTCGAGTAATCTGATGCAAAAACTAAGTGAATAACACCCTAACTGTTGACACCACCCTCACCGTTCCAGTAACATGAACGTCCACGACTTTGAGCATCTTGAGTGTTTGAGTTGCGGCCAATCCGTCCCTGAGGACCTCTAGCGATGCCCACACGTCACCAACTAGCTGCAGGGAATCCAGCGTCAGCTCGCGCAGCTGCGTCCCCAGGAGGCGGCAGATGACGAATATGGCGCAGGCAGTGATCCTGGTACGTAGGTCGCACTGACTAAGCCGCAAGCACGTCAACGTCTCGTTTGAGCGCAGGGCTTCACAGAAAAGAAGCAGGAAGGTACTTTGGCGCACAGTCGGAAGCACAAGCTGCGAGAGGAGAATGCAAAAAATGATTAAACGTGTGGTGCTCTCTGACCAGTACTAACAATTATTACAAACCTAGAGCTTTTGTATGATTTGCACAGTAATATGTAACCCTTTACCTTACAAATAACACTCTTTAATAACTGACATTATTGATCTGCTGGTTAATTTTTTTAAATGTTGTTTACAGCAAGTGTAACGTGAGCTCTAGTGACCTTACAGATTTGTCAACAATGCACTTTACAGAAGAACAATACGTATTACCATTGAAGTGAATAAAAATAACAAAAAAATTTTTGCTAGGTACACAAAAGTACTGGACCTTCAAATTTACAAGGCGCAGCTTTTTTTCTAAATTTTTGCCAGAGTGCCTTATACAACAAAGCATCTTCCCAAAAGGTCATGCAATTCTCTATGACGAGCATGGCTATATTTTATTTACAAGTCCATAACCTGTGCATAACATCCTTCATAAATATAATCTTGCAATAACAATGAAGTGGCTGTGGCTTCAAACACTGGCCACTTGCTCTTCAAGCAGTGCTGTGGTCACGGAACTCTTGGCCTCAATAGAGGCCACCATTTTCCTGTACGATATTTTGCAGTTCATTTTGATCTTAAACAAAGCATTAAACCCATAGAACTGAAGCAGTAAGCATCAAATTCATGAAACTGAGGCAGAACTGATGCAAAAGAGCACCACATTTCGCCATAACATATAGCACACACAACAATCTACTACTGTAATATTCTGAGCAAGCACCCCCTTACAAGCCCCCTTCCCCCAACTACACTCGCAATTTCAAATATCCGCGCCGTTATGGGAAAGTACCCCACCCCCCTTAATCCAATCCAATCCTGCTTTCCACTGCAGCCCGATTGCTCCACGCTGTCTGTTGCTTTGTGTTTGCGGTGAGAGGTTAGCTATGCCTATGCAGTCCTACACTGTGGCCACCAAAATTGAGGTTTCTCAATGGTATTGAGAAAACGGAAAGAACTTGCACCAGACATCCTGACATTTGAAGCTCCACTGGAAGCGGATACACGAATGGGAGAAAGCCAGGGCCTTTGCGAGCCTTCAAATACCAGGTGAGAATTTTTTCGATGGAGGCCAGGCGTCGCATTGTCATTTTATCACAACGCTGCTGACTTCTTTCCCATTCGTAGCAAATGTTTGTCTCACCCCCACAAAAAACTGCTGGATGACATCGGAGAAAATGCAAGAATGGCTTTCGATTGTCAGGGGCCCAAAAATCATCAACATGCAACACTTACTAGTAAAGACACGGCACCCATCTATAAGACACAAGTCACCACAAATGCCTTCGAAGAGTATGTCACTGACGTGCTTTCCATGTCTGTAGGGTGCACGAGCATCCTGTAGCCTGCCAACAAGTATTGGAATAAGACATTCAAGTCGCCCTTGCGGCATTTGGGCGAGCAGTATATACGTGAAGAAGCATGAACATCGAAAGGAAACTTGAAGAAGCCATCATGGCAACATGTGCTTTATTTCGTTTCCGAGACGTGGGCCGCTGTATTTGAGAAGACAGTGGCACAGTCCTTAAAGCAATGCGGTACTAGTAACGCACTCGCTGGCTTGGAGAACGGCGACCTGCACAGCGGACTGGTCGATATTGGAACTTCTTTAACCAAAAGACTGTAGCAGACTTCCAGCGGAATGCTGAGATTTGTCTTTAGCTACTCACTTAGAGGAATCTTTCGTTGGTTTGAAAGCGATTGAAAGATACAAGAAATCCTGGGCCTATATAAAGTTCACGGTAATAAAATTTTAATCCATGCACACTGCATTTTTTTCTATTGCAAAAATTTTGTTCCCACCTTGAATTTTGGGGCCCTTGCGAGATAGCGCCCCCCTCCCACTTTGCTGGCAATTTCGGCATTGCTGGCAGTGGGAACAGAGGGGGGGGGGAGCACTTGCTTGAAATTTCACTATAGTTTTGAGATAACAGCATCACTTGGTTATCACCACCATCAGTTACCGTGTAAGAAGTCTCGGCAGTCCAGCAGTAGTCCACTGTCCAAGTACACGCTCAAAAAAATGCAACAACAAAGAAAGAAATCGCGCTAGCTCTCACTTATGCCACGCGAGGGCATGAAGGTAGCGAAGCTAAGCCGTAGCCACTAGTAGACAAAATGAAACCGTAGCCAAGCAGCAGTTACAAAACCGTAACTTCAAGCACAACTTCGTTTTTTGGGCAAGTTTTCCTTCAACTCATTACACATAGTACGAAGCAGAAATTGGGATTGCTAATATTAGGAAAAAAAACTCGTATTTTATGCGGGTATTTGCGGTAATTGGAGATCTTCCAAATTCAGCCACATGTTAAAATTGGGTACCAGTTTCGGAATGCAATATTGATACGCGTCCCGCATTACGAATCGTAGTCAGCTTTCCAGTGGAGTCTGGCCATAGCTTCCAACATGCACCATTAGATTGCAAAAGGCTATAAAGCTTGCAGGGGAAGTGCCAATAGTAAGAACTGAGAGGCACATGTACTAGAACATTGCACTGCACCTGTATGCTACCCTCCCAAAGCTGGGGAAAGGCGAAGTGTCGTGTGGGCACCCTAGCACATCACATCACTCACTCTAAGCAGCATGGTTCATGAGAAGTACAAGTATCAATGGAGACAGTAGTACTGAACACAATGCCCTCGCACTCATCTTTACTTCACCATAGAAAGCATAGGAAAGTTTACAGTGCAGCAGCTTCTCATCATTATAAAACATATGTTGGAGCTAACAGGAAGAAGATCCAGCCCTGACAGCGTGCTGTTTCTGAACTGATTTTTTTTTATTATTGCGCTGCACCCGCCGCGTGGCCCAATGCCAACTTATTCTTCCTTGTCGAGCGCCGCATTCCGAGGCGCCCCCCCCCCCCCCCCAATGAGCGAAAGCCGTAGGAGTCACCAGAGTCGCCCAGTGGACATGCTTGGATGTGGGCACCCAGACTGAAGAATGAAACCCCGCAACCGCAGGAGCGGTGATATACGCAGGTTTCAGTCTGCGGTGATATACGCAGATATCAGCAGCCACGTCGTCTTCACGGCCATTGATGTCCAGCGTGAACGTCTTAGGTGTACGATGGAGTATGCGGAATGGGCCATCATAGGCTGGCGTGAGTGGTGGCCGTATTTGGTCACGCCGAACGAAGACGTGACTGCAGTCATGCAGAGCCTGGCTGACGAAGACGGACTGGAGGTGTCGGTCGGCAGGAATCAAAGGAGCAAGGTTCTGAAACGTGGTGCACCGCTCTCGAATGTACGTGGAGGCATCGTGAGTGGAAGGCGGTGATGATGGCTCAAATAATTCTCCTGGATCCACTTTTAATTCTGATCGGATGGCCAGAAGTATGAAGGGGAAGTGGTTGAGCCAACGTTCCCTTGGGTGGTGACCAGTGAGGGCAGCTTTCAGTAGTCGATGAAGCCGTTCGACCATTCGACCAGCTAGCTTCTGGGTCGCACGAATACAAGGATGGCTTATGTTGTGCAATTGATGAAAAATTGCACGACGAAAAGCTGAAGGCACATAGGGCCGAGGGACACCAGTAGACATTTCGCACCTTATTATTGAGGTAGAAAATGGAAGCGGGCACTCAGCGACTGATAGAGACGTGGGTGAAGAACGAAGACGGTGCAGCTCAGGATCGTTACTTTGGGCAGTTGCTAGCTCTTCCATGTCTAGTGGTGGCTGGGTCGACAAGACATTGATGCGGGATGGTGCATCAGCAGCAGCATTTTTCTGCCCATGTACATGTCTGAGATCCACAGTGAACTCGGAAATAAAGCATAGTTGACAAACCTCCCGTGCAGTATAATTGCTGTGATTGCGATGGAAGGCAAACGTCAGGGGCTTGTGGTCTGTAATGATGTAATAGTCCCGGCCCTTCAATAAATTACGAAAATATTTGATGGCAAGGTATACCGCGAGGAGTTCTCGGGCAAATGTACTGTATTTTGCCTTCGGTGGCTTCAGTTTTTCCGAGAAAAAACCAAGGGGCTGCCAACCGGATACATGCTGCTCGAGAACGGCGCCAACTGCCACGCTTGATGCACCGGTGATGAGATGAATTGGGGCATCAGGGACGAGATGTATGAGCATGGTGGCGTCTGCCAGAGCCTTCTTGGCAGTGTCAAAGGCAGATGCAGCGTCCTCGGTCCACTCCAGTGGCGCAGCCGGGTCTTTCTTTTTAGCCAATAGGTCCGTCAAGGGCTTTAGGAATGTGGCACACTTTGGAAGAAAGCGGCGATGGAAGTTTAGTAGGCCCAGAAATTCTCGGAGTCTCTTTAGTGAAGTCGGGGGTGGACAGTTTTGAATAGCTTTGAATTGAAAGTGCGGTAATCCCCACATGGTCTCCAGTCGCCAAGATCTTTCTTCAGCACCATGTGGAGTGGCAACGCCCAGTTGCTGGAGGAAGGCCGCACAATGCCGAATTCAAGCATGTGCTCAAACTCAAGGCGGGCGATGGCGAGGCGTTCTCCAGATAGTCGATGGGGTCGTGTAAAAACGGGAGGTCCAGTGTTCACAATGTGGTGAGTGATGGAATGCTTCACCGGTGACTCTCTGGTGTGCGGCTTCGTGATGCTGGGAAAGTCTGCGAGTATTTTTGCATTCGGCAAAGCAGGTGTGAGAGCTCGCAGTCGCGTTGGTGAGAAAGTACAGAGTACACCGTTGATGGAGAGGTGGGTCTTGAGATCAATGAGGCGATGAGCATGCATGTCCACAGCAAGGATGAAAAAACTGAGGAAGTCAGCTCCAAGAACAGCTTGCGAGACGTCAGCGAGAATGAAAATCTAGCAGAACGTACGGCGTAGTCAAAGGTCAAGTGTAAGAGAGTGTTGGCCGTATGTGCGAATGGCGGAATTGTTGATCGCTTGGAGTGGGCAGGTCTGTTCGTTGGGACGACGATCTGCAAAAGTGGCCGGGATGACGCTAACCTGGGCTCCTGTGTCGACTAGGAAGCGAGCGCCAGTGGTTTTATCAGAAACATAGAAAAGGCGGTATGATTTTCGACCAGTACCACTTGCCGTCGTCAGTGGCCAGTCGTAGCATTTCCCGACCAAGAGCACGGGCGAATGCACTTGCGAGCAGAGGTACCGCATCGGCGGTGGTACCAGCACACAGTTGAGGATGAGACGTCCCGCGGCGCGTCGGTTGGCTGAAGATCCGGAGAACGTGGGGGCGTCGAGGAGCGACTGTGTATTTGGAACCTGGAAGACGGTCGACGATGCGCAGGTACAAAGTGATCGAGACGCCTGACAAAGGCATCCAAACGGTTCTCGATGCTCGCAAGTGCCCGGTCTGCAGTGGTGACCAACGGCAGTGTGGTAACGTCGTTGAGGCTATGTGCCCGCGAGTAGTCTGCCACTCGGTCAGCCATTTCAGCGAGTGTGTCTACTGGGACATCTCCTGCAGCTGCGAGGACCGGGACCATGCTCTGCGGTAAGCGCTGGAGGAACAACTGGCATAACAGCTTCTCCTCTTGGGGGGCGGAGGGGCCACCAAGCAGCTGGCGCATGCGTCGCAGGAGCTGTGTTGGGCGACGGTCACCGAGCTCTGTAGCTGTGATGAGCTGTTGGACTCTGCTGTGTTCGGACTCAAACTTGCAGGAAATGATAGCTGCCTTCAACGTGTTGTAGAGATGGCTCGGGTGCGGCGACGCTAAAATATCAGCTAAATCGTCGGCTACGTCCGGAGCTAAGCAGGACACCGGATGCCAGTACCTGGTCTGTTGGCTGGTGATTTGCCGTAGACGGAAGTGTGCCTCGACCTGCAAAAACCATGTGCTGGGGCTGTTGGGCCAAAATGGTGGCAGGATGACATGATGAATCGCAGCGACTGCAGCACCACTAGGTCTGGCGTCTTCGTGGGCGTCAGGACCGGTAGGATTGGTGGCAAACCCGGCGGGATTCATGCGGGATGATCGGGGCTGTGTGTTCTTTATCGCGTCTTCATTAACTGTCGGAGCTAACAAGAGGAAGATCCAGCCCTGACAACATTAAGTTTTTTGATCACAGACAGCGTTCAGTTCTTTGACGAGCGCAGCATTCTGAGGCGCTACACATATATTGTTAAAGCCTGTATTTGAGGCAGCAGTCTCTTCGGGGGCGTGGGTTCGGATCCCACCGCTGCCACCATGTCGTGGTCGGGAACTGAGAACACGAACGAGCCGACGGATAACGACAACTGTTTAATGATCAAAGGATTAGATTAAACCATGCGTGCTAGCGCGGCTACATGTTAGCTCGACAGACACAGTCGCACACACTCGCGCCAGCGATCTGCTGAGCCAAATCGTCCCGCACGTCTCGTGATGCGGTACGCATAGCGCCATCTCCTTGTGGCTGCGTCCACGACAGTTATAAGTGAGTTCAACTGTATTACTAAGTTACTCTCTATCAATTCCAAAATCACCACACTTGCGTGCGAAAACGCACAAAAAGAAAATGAGGGTGGCAATACCACCTCAACATTGACGCAGTAAATGCCGGGACACGAGATTTTGATGGCGTCCACTAGTAGTTCCTATATGATAAAAACTAAGAGCATTGTTCACCGAGGGGGCCACAGACTTGATATGCCAGAGACTTTCGTTGTTAGTTCACGCCCCGGCAGACCTGAATAAAGTTTTTTTTTTTTTTTTTCATTCTAATCTAATAGAACGAAAATATGAAAAATGCACTTTGAAATCTACGATGTCACAAGTTGAGATTTGAAAACAATGTTTAAATATTAAACTGTGCTCTTGATTTCTTTCTTTATTATTAGGCTTACAATGGCAAAATTACGAAAATTCGAGACCTCAAAGTACAGTTTATAAATCTAAACCAATCAACTGTTGCACATTAGAGTACCTTTAGGAGAGACTTCTGTCAAACCAATGCTTATCAACAACCAAAGTTTCCGATGCCATTCTAGATCTTGCTCAATTCCTCAAACACAATCTGGGCTAAATGTTGCAAAACAGCAAACGTGACACTGTGAATGAAGGGGCCATGAGTCGTAAACTTTCTTTCGTTATATTTTAAACTGAAGCACAATAATTTTGCACTGTGCCATGAAACAGGTATTGATGTTTCAAGCTGATTGCAATGAGTGTAGAGCAAACAAATTACACCACTGCGTATCATAGATTGACAATAATTAGCTTCCATGGCTGAACGAACACAGAAGCTTTGCCAAGAAAGCAAGATGTGGCATTACACTGATAGGTTCTCTGCTTTACCATGTGCTTCCTGACACAACAATAAACTTTGGAAAAAAAAACACAGAAGGTAATTAGTTAAGAAGAGCACAAGCATGCTTTTATGACAATCCTTAAAACATTTTTTTTTCATTTTGCCTCAAAACAATGCTTCAAAGCTTTGCTTACACAGATGTGCTACAGCTGCCTTTACTTTAGCTTTCCATATGACATATAGTAGCTGTGGAGGAGACCTTGTCAATGCTTCTTCAAACCCCACATGCAGTTGACAGCTTTTAAATGCAAAGACATATCCATGATCTAATTTGCTCACGGCTTTGCCTCCTACCCTATTAAGCCATCATTTTTTGCAACCTCTTTTCCGTAAAGATATGAATCTGTCAATAACTATACTTGAAGTAAAAAGCAGGTCAAACTTCTATGTGGCTAATAAACCATCGTTGTTACACTGAACGTCTTTGTTACATTGAGCTATGACTAATGTCATTTTTTGTCTAATATGTCTGGATGCAGAATCTGCATTGTCATTATGGTAGTTACAAGCAAAATTATGACAAATGGCAAAATTAGCACTTAACCCTGAACCCTTACCACCAGAAAAATCTTGACAACCTAGAACTGCAGCCTTTTATGTGAAATACAATGTAACAAGTCAAATAGCCTTTATACCACAAGTATCGAACAAAAAGTGATAGCATAGGTCATGCCCTATCATTTCCTCTGGTTCCAGGCTTTAGATTTCCCGTTAGTTAACATCAAAGTTTTGTGAGACGGCTGCTGTCCCTGAAAGAGCTAAGAAGGAATAAGTGATGCTTCCCACTACACAAGAAATGCATTAACCCCAGAGCCAACACTGGGTCTCCGCAATAACTGTTCTAGCTGGTAATAACTACGTCACCATCTTTCTCGTACCTCAACACCTCTGACACACCGGTGCTTGGCAAGGAGACAGTGCAACATGATGGCTCCGTATTCAATGGGATCCTTGTCACAGTTTTTGCCCGTAACAGTTACATCCTGCTGGTGGCCAATGGTAATCCTCCCAGGTGATACCTCGGTCACTTCGAAACCGATAAACCAGAGCATCTCGTTCAGTGCATCTAGGCGCTCAAAGAGGCAGCATGCCCTCGTAGGGGTCTCGGTGCACTGCAAGGGAAGCTGAAACCTGGTCTTGCTGAAGGCGGTGCGGAGCGACAGCAGCTCTCGCTCAAGAGCGGCGGGGTCCGGAAGGTTCGGCTCCATTCGCTTGACCCGCAGAACGTAGCTCGAAAGCGGGCTTTCATTTGGACAGGCTGCCATCCTGCAGTGAAAGAAATTGCAAAACAGTAGGCAGCCACTTCAATTGTTGCCTTAAAAGGACACTAAAGGCTGATAATAATTTATGTCAGAGAGAAAGGTCATTGCTTGAGAACATCTAAAACTTCAACATAATATGCAGGAGCACTTCACCAACCAAGAATGCCCCAACAGTGGGACATTCCCGAACACACCTGATGATGTAGTAGGGCCTCGGTACAATAATTCACAAGTACTCTAAATACCCCTGACAGCAATGAACAGATTAGTGTATTAAAAGATGAAATAAAATGTAAGTAGTGCCTTTCAGAGTGATTCACATGTGAAAGAGCCCCTAAACAGCACCCACTGATGATCCCACGTTTACATGCACAGATACACCCTATAAAGTGGACAAAGGGTGGACCGCCACCTTAGCCCAGTGGCACATCATCGAACACATTATTCGAAGGTCCCAGGCTCGGATACTGCTGGTGATAAGTTATCTTTTCGTCCACTATTCTTTCTTTACATTTACACCACTGTCACTTGTAATAATATCCCCTTTACTTCGCTTGGCATCATCGCCTGTTCAATTCAAGTTCTGTTTTTGTCAGGCAGTGCTACAAAAAAAGCAACATGTTCTGCTGTGCCAGCTTTCGTGTAGTAAAGCAAGTAAAGGTTGGTCATGGCTATACCCGAATCCCACTAATGGTATGCAGACCACAAAAATGTGATTTCCTTTGAAACTAAGTATGTTCTTGGTATGAAACAAGCACTGTAAGGTTTCCGAAACGATAGTCACGTGAGTATTGGATCCCTTTAAGGGCTAGCAAAAGCACTTCGGGGTGCATGAAGGCCTAGCTGCAGATACAGACACAGTACTCATTTACATCCCCTGTTTGCATCCTTTGATACTGTGCCTGATGCGCCACCGGCAGCTTGAAGTGACGCGCAACAAATACGCAATGAAATCATCACTCCAAAAGTGTATGCTGTGCTTGGTTGGTCTCTACATTATCAAAAAAAAAAAAAACTGTTTCTTTATATACCTCCAAGAAGAAGCGAAAAACTTGCGGTTATACAGCAACTGCAAATGCAACTTGGTTTCAGTTCTCATATGAAGTTTCCCGAAGAGCAATCAGGAAGCAGATATGCGATTTTCTCAAGCATTTGCTGCGAAGCTCACAAGGCATGCAATACAAAGTCGACCCAATACATGCCAGTGCATACCCGTAAGCAAAAGTGCGCGGACCACGCGAGCGCACGGCCAATGACCTCCTCGCAACGTTGTCAGGTGTCATAGAGAGCATTGCTACGCCCAAGACAAGAAACTTACGTTAATCAACACCGTGCCATCGCACCCAATAATGCACAAATAAGTCTGAGTTTTTAATATCTTGAAATTCCCGTCTAAGTACTGTGACGTTCTCTGCGTCAACGTCGTGAAAGAGCATTGGTTCATTTCACTACATCGCACCAACAGGCTCAAGTTATTCAGTATTTAGTGCCCAGAGAGAGTGCATGCCTGCGGATGCCGTGAATAGACGCGACAGCCCGAAACTTCACCGGCAATGAAAGGAACGTAATAGGATATTTCTTTCCGAAACAAAGCCATGCTGTCTACCCATGACTACCCGTCTTATCGCAGAAGTCTACCCTCGCGCTCTGGGCTCACCTCTCGAGTAGTTGATGAACTCCGGCGGTAAAAGTAGATCGACGCGACCTGAAAAATGTGACATTAAATGTCCATGTACTACCTAGCACGAACCGAAACAAACAATGCCTTTAAAGAAGCACTTATCGAACATGCCGCTTTCAGCATAAAACTAGACTTGGATTGACCGGCGGTAGAAGAAGCTAGAGAAACTGGCAAACTGGTAAGTGTTCTGTGCTACAGTCTTGACGACAATTAATTGCGGCAAATTGCCTTTAAAAAAGTGTTTTGGCGACAATATGAAATTAACTATATATAAAATAGAACAAACACGTTTTTCGTTACAAATTTTATGCTGTACTTGTCTACCAGTGGTATTGGTAGCAGAAGTAATGCATAAGCGTTTGAGTTTCGTTTTTAAACCGCGCAGTATTTGAATGTATGAATATGCGGCTGGGCCTGTTCTCATGACGATAGTTATAGCACGAGAACAAAACGACGACACAGAGACAAGAAGGACACGAAAGACACGAGCGCTAACTTCCAACTGAGTATATTGCACAGAGCACGAAAATATATAGAGGAGACAGTAACCATGCGATAAAGACCATATGGCACAAAGAGCAGAACATGAGTAAGAGAAAAACAAAAACAAAAGCACAGAAAAAGGCAAAGAAAAATCTATAAGGAAATGAAACAGATAAGTAAAGATAATATAACTACTTGCGCGCACCGAAGCCTTCGAGGAACCTTAGTTCCTTCTCGGACAGGGACACGGAGGGCTTGCTAATGCAAGGCACCTGTTCGCGTGCCATCTGCGCGGCCTCGACAATGACTCGGGTGTGCTCATATTTGTGTTTGTACAGCGTCGCTGAGTCATTGAAAAGAGGCACACAATTGCACTCAGTGCAGTGCTGAGCGAGAAAATCCTCTCTCCCGTTCTTAACATTGTTAGCGTGTTCTGACACCTTCCGGTCGTTCCGACATAACAAGCACCGCATGAAAGGGGGGGGTCCTATAGACAACTTCCCGGGAGCACGCCGCATACCTGTTTCTTTCTGTGACAATGAAGGGAAAGCTACGCGGGCAGACCTTCGCGGAAGACTACTTCGCGGAAGAGTACAGGAGCAGTAGTTCGAACTACTGCTCCTGTACTCTTCCGCGAAGTAGTCTGCTTTGGCTCACGTTTCAAATTACGGCCGTGTTCAAGTAATTCCACTGCACGCACAATGATACGTCTGCTTACACAACCACAACTATTTGTGAATAAAATTAAACACAAGCTCTTTCGGCGAGTCGATGGAATAGTTGGAAGGCGACGCGCGCTCACCCAAAGACGAAGGCGCCATTTTGACAGTTATGGGCACGTAATACGTGCGATGCTTTCAGACGCGCTAAAGCACATAAACAACTCTTCAGAGAGCAACAACAAATATTAATATCACTACTGTGCGTGCAGCGTCTCCTTATAAATAGCATCCAGTAGACAATTATGTTGTTCTTAGTTATTATTGTCACACGGAAATGTCACACAGTTATTATTGTCACACGGATGCATTTGTGGCACTATTGCAGAGTGGCGGCACATGTCCACTTTGCCTTCATTGCCTTCCCTTCATTGCCACAGAAAGTTGTCCCTGAGTATAGCTCCACGTATACCAAATTTGTTGTTACGTGACGTCAATGAAGGACGATATATATGACTGGTGCGAACATGATAATCCTGACACGCGTGTCATGTAAGAACACGACAACATACCACGCTCATAGCGTGCCCGCGGCCGTTTCGCTAGCTCCACATATACTAAATTTGGTATCACGTGACGTGAACAGATGACGAAAGTAATCGACACATCCAAACATCATAATCATGACATGAAAGTCTTGTACGGCATCATTTACTTCGACCTCATAACTTTGTGTTGATTTTAAAGTGACATATCAACATTTCGCGTTCCCGCTTCGCATATCATCGCTTTCCACTGTACGTGGGATCTGCAAATTTTTTAAGAGCACAGCTCCTTGAGCTTGGAGCAACCCTGCCATTCGTGAACATAAATCATCATCATAATAGAGCAGTGTGTGCTTTTCATCCTCTTCTTCGTGTTGTCGTTTGCTTCCCTACATCTGTAAGGCATACGATGCATAAACTCTGACGGGTGGGAGAGCGAATACTGAAGGAGAGAACAAGAAAGAGACAAATGAAGAGGAGGGGGAACATTCTTGACTAGTCGGGATTTGAACCCACGTACCAGCGTTTGGAAGGCAAGCTTCGTAATCACATGGCTATACAGGATCGTTAAAAGAGCTTACGCATGCAATAGTTTTGCATAGTATATGCTATATAGAGTATAGATATACAGTATACAGTACAGATTATTTTAGTCTCACACCTTCTATATCAAACCTTATATTACATATTGTAAATAAATAAATGTATTATTATTATTATTATTATTATTATTATTATTATTATTATTATTATTATTATTATTATTATTATTATTATTATTATTATTATTATTATTATTATTATTATTATTATCATCATCATATTAGAGGGGTGAGAAAGGGAAGTGATATTGTGGAGGAGCTAAAAGAGGCGGGTACAGTGCCAACGGCTCCGCCATTTCATCTGTATTCGCACGACTAGTGTACAGCTGCCTCAATTATTCTATTTAGTATATCGCGCAAGGTTGAAGCCAGAATTTTTTTTTTCTTTCGAGAAGTCGCCGTCAAAGTTTTACAGTGTAGGTGATGAAACTAAAATGCGTCAACTCGTCTACTCTTTATAACTGGCTTAAAAAATGAATTCTTCGAAATTTTAGTCAAGTAACGCTTGCTCTTCAATCGTTTGCCTTTTCCGCTGGTGATGAAAGGAACAGATTTGAAGACATCTGCTCAGCAAGTAAAAAGGTTGACATGATTTTCTAGCAAGTGCTTCGGGTTCTGAAAGGTCACTGTGAGTTCCAGCAAACTTCTCTGGATGGCACTGGCAATTTGTAGAGACCCAATGAATAACACTTACTCCAAAACGTTTACTCTAGTAAGCGTTTCCTCGTCTTCTTCCTCTTGTTTCTCGCGAGACTTCATCGGTGGCACAGCGGAAAGCCGACGAATACGTGTCAAAACGTGATGGATGAGTTAAGGAAATTAGTTATTGAGAATATCGGCTCCACGCTTATTGCAACGGGAACAGGGAGAAGGGGTGACTGTTTTACGGTGAAGGCGTCTTTGCTCATTTCGGTGACCGGCTTCTGTGTTGACTTTGCTGGCTAAAACGAAGTCCATTGTGAACTTACACCTAATTAGGCATCAGCCAAGCATGGTTGCGGCGGTCAGTGGCGCATCCAGGGTGTGGCACACCAGACCCATGCCCAAATTTTTTCTTCGCCATGTCATACAGAGCGAGAAATGAACACTTCAATTAGGTGCCCCCCCCCCCCCCCGTCCAAAAAAAAGCCTACGCCCCTGGGGGTGGCGTATTTGAACTGTACCAGAATGAACGCATACATACCGCGGGAAAATTCAACGCGAGTGGGATAGCGCACACTTTTACATAGACAGAATAAGGAACACGACAGAAGCGCTAGATCGTAAAAAATGTTTATTTGAAACAGCAGAGAAAGAGATACAGAACTTGGATGGTAATATCAGACTGGTATGATAGCAATGTATCTAAAATTGCCATGAATGAACGCACGTTTTATTGCATATAAACCATGAGAAGGTGTGCTAACACATCGCACGCTCAACCACTCAATTGCTTCTGTGGTGCGTGGGCTAGATGGATTATTAGAGGGAATAACTTCGATTCCTCCATTTGGCATGGCCGCCTTACTCCACTAATCAAGAAGTTAGATAATTAAAGTTATTTAATTACTGTGTCCAATGATGTCTTTAGGCATATTAACATCTCTGCCACTACAGAAAAAAGTCACAGTTTCGCCGAAAGGGCGAAGCAATGAATGCAATAGAAACATATTCGAATGTTTTAGAAAGCTAGTCTAGCATATGTAGGGGCAATAATAATTGTAGTAAACATGCGTTTTCTAAATAATAAAAATTTCCTGCGGTGTGGCCACAGTAGATGACCACAACAAGGCTCGTGCGTAGTGACGGCGTTGATATACGTAGTTAGGCTTGCAGTCTGTGTGTGTGTGTGTGTGTGTGTGTGTGTGTGTGTGTGTGTGTGTGTGTGTGTGTGCGTGTGTGTGTGTTGAGAGCGCAGCAGCCCAAAGAAGCTCCGACCCTGCTGTGGGGGCAAAAGTCGCGCGGTGATCGTTGCCATGATAGCGTGGCAACCATAACCATCCCCCCCCCCCCCCCCCCCCCGTTTGCTCAAGAGATAAGCGCACTCGCCTACTACACCGGCCTTCTCACTCCGCAAAAAAAGGAGGCTAGCGCATCCTTTTCCGTATATACATACTTACATATACATTTACGGGAATGACAGTGGCGGCAACGGCAAACACCAGCCAAGACTGTGTATATAATTGCTATCACAATGAAAATACGTAGCTCATTCTAAACGCCATGAAGAATTCTAGACGTCACGAAGATCTTTACGAAGTAAGTTTGCTCCTAACGACACTTCGACTTCACCGATGAAGTCTGTGAGCAGCTCGTCGAAGATTAGGCCCTTAGAAAACTGTAGTTTTTTAAAGCACTCTAATGGTAATGAGTGTGCGTTGGTGATTTTATACGAGCTATTAAAAGAAAAGACAAAGTATAACGCTCCGCCACGATGCATGCAACGTTAGAGCGGAACTCATCACAGCTGCTGGCAGACATGACGCGACTCTAAAATGCGGGACATCAGGCAATTTTGAAAACACTAATGTGGCAGTTACACTGTTTCTTCAGTGGAGAAAACTATCAACATTCTGGACGTCAAGAGCATGCGCAAATAATGTATACACTGGAACATAGAATTTACTACCGCGACGAGAATGACATTCTGTAATGCGCATAAAGAACGCTGTTTCTCTCTGGCGATCATAAATCAACCAGCCAAAATGGGTACTTTACCACATAAAGAGCTCCGATTTGCGTCAGAGAGCTAGAAAGGCAGGTCTTTTTCACCGAGACAAAATTTTTCTTTCGCATGTTTTTGTGAAAGCCCAGGTGGTAATATTATTTGTATATAATGTAACGAAATGTGGAGTTTAACGTTCCAAAACCTTGATGTGATTATAAGGGACGTCGTAATGGAGGGCTCCATAAAT